TCATTTTATAACTGACAGGCATAATCTCATCCTTTAAAAAATTACCCTTTGCCAATATTTAGCTAAATAGTATTATTAATATTCTTATATATCTTCATTTAGAGAAACATTATTTTGTGCAGTCCAATTTATGGTGAGCTACGTCTAATTATAAAAAAATAAACTGTATTTATTACCTTAAAATTAGCATGTCCATAATTTTACCTATTTGTCCTTGTTTCTTTTTTGTCCAAAATCTAAACAGAAAATCCTAAAGATTAAATATTTAAAGACCTGTCTACTTTGGGTTCCCAGGCCCATTTCTCTGCCCCAGGCTTTTTCATCCTAATATCCTTTCTTTCCTGACCAAGTCATTTAATCTATTTCCTTCTTTCTGGTTGCCACCTTGTAACCCAGCACACCAGGGCTCATGCACTCGGCACCCTGGTGTGTGACCAAGTAGTTAGTGTTGAGGGAAACAGGTTTTTATTTACAGGATTCCGACCTCAGTGGGGAGCGGGGCTGGGAGCACTCCTGTGCGGAGACCTGCTCTCCCTTGAGACCCAGCACTTCCCCTGCTCCCCACCAGGTTACAAGCCAAAAGCATGTTCAGAAGTTCCCCATATACTTACCTGTTCTTAAGCCAGCTGTACAGCTTTCCATCCTCCCTGCAAGGCACACTTGTGGATTTCAGAATCTCCAACCTCTTGCAACAGCTCTCTCCTTCAGGATCTGGGGCTCACTGTTCTTAGCCTCTGTGCAATAGTTCAGGAAAACATGTGCCGTGTTACACAGGATCATAGAGGAGTCCAGAGAGGCACATGTCCTAAGAAAGTGGCTTCTCCATACATCTTTCAGTGACACAAAAGTCTACAGTCTCAGCATTCCTGGGCACAGTTCAGCATTCCAGGCATCTCCCACTGATCCGTGCTTGGTTCAGTAGGTTCCCACACAGCTCCATCAGCTTTCTCTGTCATGCTTTTCTCAGCCTGTATGGCTGCCTTCCTCATTACACCAGGTCTCATGGCCGAATCTCCCTACTTCATGTCTCCTTCCTCATGGCTAACTTCTCAGAGGGGCAGACATAGCTCCTCCCTCACTACAGGCAGCACGACTGAACCTCTCTCAGAGAAGCAGAAGTAGCTTCTCTCTCACTACAGACAGCGTGGCTGAGTCCGCTCTATATCATGGCTCCTTCCTCATGGCTGCTACCTACTCTCTCAGCCTTCATGGCAGACCAGCCCGCTCTCTTTCAGCCCACCCTGATTTCAAATACTGACCCAGAGCTTCCTACGTGACCTCATATCTGGCCCCTCCTACAGCCAGCTACTCTTTTCCAGTTTCCCTGTATCTTTATCTTTCTTTGGCTGCCATCTTCAGTCAGGGCAAGAGTACTATGGGACACAGGAGGCTTCACTTCCCTGAGTCTTGTGCAGGTGCCATATAAGTTTCCCCTGGCTCCATCACGTGTCACTATGCATTCTGAAAGTCATGTAAGCCCATGGCCATAGAACAGCTATCTACTTGCTAGCCACTTGCCATTGTTATGAAACGTATCTTAACCTCTGTACCATCCCCTTCCCTCATCCCCAACCATGGTCTGTGGGGAATATTTTTGGGCACCACCCTCCCCACTTTGCCCCGTTACAATGTCTCATCATTAAAAACACTAATTATTTTGCCACCAAGATTGCAGAATTAGGAGAATGTTTTCCATACCACTGTCTTTCAACAACACATGTACATACACACACGCACACACACACTCATTCACTCTTAAAGAGTTTTTGTTTTAGCCACTACAAGGACAGTAATAAAATGACAAAATATGGGATATACTAGAAATAAAAGCCTTACATTATGCTCATTCCTACTATTGCTGGTCTGTCGCACACATCCACATTTTGCTAGTTCTTCTCTTGCCAATGAGTCAGTCTCACCCAGTGTGTCTGAAAGGGAGGCCAGGCTGAGCTGCTTAGACTGTTGTCTGTGGTAGCGCCAGCCCGGGACTGCTGACCATCCTCGTTTTACCAGGCGCTGCCTCCAGGTGCGGAGCGTCTCCAGAGGAGAGTTCTTACTTCTCCGTCCCCTACCCCCAAATGTTTTCTGTGGATTTCAAGTCAACCTAAATAGTCACCTCCTGGGGCTTACCTAGAATTTTCTAAAATGTTTTCTAGCCCACAGCTGAGGTTTTCAAAGTGTGATCCTTGGAAAAGCAGCATTAGCATCACCTGGAAACTTGTTAGAAAAGGAAATGCCCGTCCCCACCCACCACGGACTGAATCGGGAACCCTGGGGGCGGGGCCCAGCGATGTGTGTTCTAACCGACTGTCCTGCCTAAGAAAAAAGAAAAGATGAATACTTTTCCTCCAACCTTCTAACTTCTTCTGGGATAGTAATCAAATTAACAGACTAATAGGAGAAAATGAAGTGTTAAATACGTGCACGTGAGAGATTCACATGAGCACGAAATTCCAAGGACAGTGCAGGAACATGGGGTATATGAGACATTCTTGGACAAAGGAGAAAAGCTGGTGGAGGAGGTCTTAAATTTCAGAAGGGAGAGTGGGTGATTTTCAGGCAGTTGAGGGAGCGCAGAACACGCTTGGTGGGCAAATTCTTGCTAGGCAGCTCAAATGGTGGGGCACTGTGGGTATCTAGCTAACAGGCCTCTGCCTAAAGCCTTCTTAATTCAAATTACGCTAAAGTGAAGAATGTAAGATTTCTTTCCTGAAGCAGGTTTTTCTGTGTGAATCTCTTGGGCAGGAAAGGGGAAAAGGTCAAAGCTTCTTGCTGAGTCTTGTTTCTTAATAAACAGCCTAAAATCAATGTCCCTAAAAAGCAGCTTCAGTGTGGCAAAACTTTTATTCCCTTTGGTAGAGTAGGCCGTTTAGGTACAGGTTCAGAAGGTCAGCGTGGCAGAAAGCAACAGGCACTTGTCGGGTGAGGGTGTTACCTGATAGGGGACTTGGCCCTGAGATCCTAGGCTGGGCTGCCTCAGCTCACTGGGAAGTTGGAGAAAAGGGGCCTTAGGAACAGGTTCAACCCATTGCTCCCCTGGTTGCAAAGCTCCTGGGGACCCTTGGAATTTAGGAGATGGGTGTCTTTGGGGGAAGAAGAGAGGGAAGAGGAGAAAGGAAATGGTGCAGGCTGCTCCCCAGAGGGGGAGCCAAAATGCTGGATCCTTTGTCTTGACGCCTTTATTTCTCTTTTGCAGGGGGGAACCTTAGGGGTGGTCTCAGGGGAGGGTTTCAGCAGAATATTCATCAGTTCTCCAGGTGCCCTTTCAGGGTCACGTTCTCCACTGATTGGTTAGTGACAGGGCAGTTGGTCCTGATGCTTTTCTGAGCTTGAAGCTGAAATACAACTGAGGCCTATTTGTTCTCACCAGGGAGGTGAGCCTCTGAATCTGGCTGTAAATTGTTTGGCCACTGTGCACAGCTCTCTGTCTCAGCTTCCCTGTGCCACTTGCCAAGGAATTTTCCTAGCTTCTTACTATCCTGCTTCAGGACCTCACCCCCAAGGTGACCTTTCCTTCCCTAGAATATTGTGGGTCACGTGGTTTCCACCCTCCCCTGACCTTTTTTTTCTTTTTTACTTGCAAGTCATGCAGTAGACCCCCTTAGAGGAGGAACAAGGGGAGCTGGAGAATAGCCTCACATGACTCCCGTACAAGCCCCTGCTCAACCACTCCCGTAAGCATTAGGCCCTCAGGACCATGAGGTTTGAATCAGCATCACATGTTAGATCTCTGTGTTGACCATAGTGACAATTTTGGTCAAATTAGAGACAACGTTTAGGCCTTCACGTGTGTTTTGGCTCCAGGCTCAGTAAAGCAGCAAAGCCAGACTAAGGGATACCAGGGCAGACATCAGGACCAGCTGCATTAACTAATGAACCGCTCCCCTAGTGCCAAGCAATCAATGGAGATCACAACCCTGAAAAGATGTACCTGAAAAGCTGATGAACATTCTACTGAAATCTTCCCTTGAGACATCAAGATAAAAACCCCTTAAGACAAAGTTCCCAGGGCAAGTACAAGCACCCACACGCTCATTCTCTCGCTCCTCTCTCCCCCCTCCCCTCCTGCCCCACCTCTTCCCCTCCGCCCCTTTCCTTCCCCTAAAGTGTTTTCTTTGTCTTGCTCCTGGGCTCCTAGAGCCCTCCTCCTTTTGCCTCTGTAACTTGTTGCCTGAGCCCACACAGCCTGCTGGCTCACTTCTTCCATGGCTTTCTTCTTCCTCTGTGACTTTCTAAATAAACTTTTACTTGTATTTGAGTCTTGGACCTGAATTCTTTCTTAGCCAAAACTCAAGCACCGAAGCCTAACATTTCGTGTCGCTTGCATTAATACCTTCAGTCCCACCTTTGAAACTTCAAATAAAAGATTCACATTCCAGAAGCTAAATTGGTAGATTGCTCCACGATTCAATCATTCAATCCTAAGTCTAAGTCAGTTCAGTTAAGCTGTTGAGTCTTATTTCAGTACATGGTGAGGCAGATGGGTTCCCCAAGTGAGTCCTGTCAAGGTGGTCAGTGATGCGGGCTGGAGGGTAAGTGGAGGCAGTCTGGCTTCCTCGAGGAGCAGTGCTCCCCTAGCCAGGGAGGGGCCTGCTAACTAGTGTTCTCATAGCCCTGAGACTGGGTTGGATAAACTGTTCCCATAACATGAAGTGGGCTTGCATGTGCAGAATTATGTTATGGTATATAATTTCTGGCATCTTGCCAGCTTTGTTCCCCTCTAGCACTTAAACAGGTAAGGACTCCTTGCTGGGGGCGATGGTGATGAGAGACACACAAGGGAACAGGTGCCACAATGGGTGCCACACTGGGGAGCAGGGGCCACGACATGAGACATGCAGATAGACATGCAGCTGGCAGTATGCGTGGCTCATCCCCCCATGAATAAAGGCATGCCAGACAGCCCAACGGCTCTGTGAATATTTTTCCATCTGCAGGAATACCATGAACCTGCCTGGCCTTGAAGGGTGGTAACACACGGGCTGCGAAAAAAAAGTGTAGAGAGCAAAGTTTTTATTCATTCTCCAAGAAAGGAGAGGGGCATGGTTTGGAGAGCCAGGCTTGAGGGGTAGGGGTTTTGAGCTTTTACTGGATTATTACTGGATTAAAAAGGGTGGAGGGTTGCTGTTGTGTGTCCCCTGGGCTGTTGCGATGTTGTAACACAGGCTGCAGTTTATTCCAGTGTATCTTCTGCCTGTGGCTGTAGGGAGCAGTTAGTTCTGTTCTTGCTTCCAGCAATTTCCAGCCCTGGGGACAAGGTCAGAAGAGTAAAATGGCAAGATCATAGGAGTGCTAGGCAAATGGTGCCACAATAGCAAATGGGGCTGACTTTGTCCTTTCAAGTCCTATATTGTGTAAGCAAGCAACAGGTATTTAATAAGAGGTATGTCTATGAAAATACAAGCAAAACGAAGGTTAATGATCAAAGCAAATTACAAATCAGTTTCTAAGTTGAGAAGACTTCTAGATGTAAGGCAAAGCTTCTTTTGTTGGACTGAAGGCAGACAGTGACAATCAGACAGATTCTCTGGGTTTGCAGTTTCACTGTCTCTGATGATGCCATCAGGTGCTCAAGTAAAGTCTCTGAGACTTACACAGCACCAGTCACTGAGGCTGTTTAAGTGTGAGCTGTTTTGGCGATTTCTCTGAAATTTAGGTCATGTCATCTAGCAAGTCTCAGAAAAGATTTTTAGATCTCAGTAATTCTAAGTCTAATGATGGGGAAAAAAACATTAATTCAGAGGGTTGTAGCCAAACATTAAAAAAAACTAGAAAATTTTAAAACCCAGTCCAGTTTATAAATGAAAAATAACTTTAAAGACCATTAACTGAACTAGAATCTAATATTCACCACTGTGTAGTATAGTTTCTTTGAAAACATAACTTTTCTCTCTAAAATCACCCTCATTTTTCTCAAAGATAACCAAATTAAGACTAATTTATTTTCTGCATCAGTCTAGTTTCCATAAATTTGGCCTATTATTTGTATAAATATATCAAAAATAGCAATGGATTATATAGGTTCCTGCTGAAATATCATCAGAGATCTCCAGATTAAATTTTAATTAGGCTCTCAAGGTTAACAAGCCAAGCTACAAAAGTTGCCATCAGACTTCTATAATATGTGTAGATTTGGGTAAATTCCTCAGGTTCTCAAGGTCCCCCAAAATGCCTTGAGGTTCTTTTTTTGCTATCTCCCAAGAAAGCAACTTTTGTTTCTTACCTTAACAGACTGCTGTGACTTGAGTGAGCAAGGCACCAGGCTGTTTTCCAAGGGGTGTTTATTGGCTTTCAAAGTTAATCTTAATGCCTTAAAGCTTTCTGGTGACGTCTGAGTCTCTGTATGGCTCTTTCAAATATGACATTTAGTCAAAGCCCTGATTAACAATGCCAGCTTCCAAATTGTGTCCTATTATAAAGAGAACAGGTTCTTATCAAATTTATGCAAACAACTATACTGCCTTGGAAATAATATTATTTGTTAAGAATTTCCAAATTCTGGAGGAATCAGGTAAGGAGAAAAATATAAATATTTCAATGCTACTTACAAAATTAAAATTTACCAAATTTTAAGAAAACCAAGTTTCAGGACTTCTGGCCAAGATAGAGGTGTAGGTAGAGACACACTGTGCCTTCTTACACAACCAAAATAAGGGCAACAACAATTCTGAAACAAGATAACAACCAGAACTGACAGAAAATTGAACTGTATGGAAGTCCGACAACCAAGGAGTTAAAATAGACACATTCATTTACACTAGTACGTGGGGCGGAGTTGGGTGGCCAGGCAGAAAGGGGTTACAGCAAAAGAAAGCAGTGGCACCGGATAACCAAGGCAGCAGCTGACAAACCCTGGGCACACAGGACCCCAACAAGAGACCCTGGGTATGTAGGAGGTAGCTGGCAGATCCTGGGCAAGGGGTGGCAATGAGCAGACCCAGTAAGGTGGTGATTGTGGATCAGGGCATGGTGCACAAGACAGCTGGCTGACTGGGCAGTCCCATGTTCCCACACAGATAAACCAGGTGAAACTGGCAAGCAAGACTGACCATGCAGCCCACTGAAAATGGGCTGGAAAATAAAGCCTCAAAACACCGACTGAAAACACCTGTGGAGGTTGAGGTACTGGGAGAGACTCCCAGCCTCACAGCAGAGCTCGTTGAAGAGACCCACAGGGTCCTAGAATGTACACAAGCCCGCCCACCCAGGAACCAGCGCCAGAAGGGCCCAATTTGGGAAGCAGCAGACAGGACTGAAATCAGAGAGAGAGTGGAGCAAGTACCACTGTTCCCTCTCTGACCCCGCCATGACATACAGCATCACAACCCAGCAACTGGGTTTCCCTGCCCTGGTGAACACTTAAGGCTCTGCTCCTCAACATAACAGGAGTGACAAGACAAAAAAATGGCCCAAACGACAGAACAGATCAAAGCTCCACAGCAAATACAACCAAGCAACCAAGACATAGCCAACCTAACAGATTCACAGTTCAAAACACTGGTGATCAGGATGCTCACAGAACTGGTTGATTTTAGTCACAAATTAGATGAACAAATGAAGGGTACACTAAGTGAAATGAAGGAAAATGTTCAGAAAACCAATAGTGATGGGAAGGAAACTGGGACTCAAATCAATGGAGTGGACCAGAAGGAAGAAAGAAACAACCAAACAGAAAAGAATGAAGAAACAAGAATTTTTAAAAAATGAGGAGAGGTTTAGGAACCTCCAGGATATCTTTAAACGATCCAACATCTGAATTATAGGGGTACCAGAAGGGGAAGAGGAAGAGCAACAAGTGGAAAACTTATTTGAACAAATAATAAAGGAGAACTTCTCCATTTTGGTTAAGAAAATAGACTTCTAGGAAGTCCAGGAAGCTCAGAGAGTCCCAAAGAAGTTGAACCCAAGGAGGAACACACCAAGGCACATCATAATTATATTAGTCAAGATTAAAATGAAGGAGAGAATTCTAGAAGCAGCAAGAGATGAGGGGAGTCACCTACAAAGGAGTTCCCATCAGACTGTCAGCTGATTTCTCAAAAGAGACCTTACAGGCAAGAAGGGGCTGGAAAGAAGTATTCCAAGTCATGAAATCCAAAGACCTACATCCAAGATTGCTCTATCCAGCAAAGCTTTCATTTAGAATGGAAGGGCAGATAAAGTGCTTCCCAGATAAGTTCAAGTGCAAGGAGTTCATCATCACCAAGCCCTTATTATATGAAATGTTAAATGGACTTACCTAAGAAAAAGAAGATAAAAAATATGAACAGTGAAAGGATAGCAAACTCACAGTTATTAACAACCACACCTAAAACAAAAACAAACTAAGCAAACAACTAGAACAGGAACAGAACCACAGAAATGGAGATCACAGGGAGGGTTATCAACAGGTGAGTGGGAGAACAGAGAGGGGGACAAGGTACAGAGAATAAGTAGCATAGACAGTAGGTAGAAAATAGACAGGGGGAGGACAAGAATAGTATGGGAAATGTAGAAGCTAAAGAAGTTATGACACACGGACATGAACTTAAGTGGGGGAATGTGGGTGGGAGAGGGTGTGCAGGATGGAGGGGAATGAAGGAGGGAAAATGGGACAACTGTAATAGCATAATCAATAAAATATATTTAAAATTTAAAAAAAAAACAAAAACCAAGCTTCAATTTTATCTGGAAAACAGAAAAGACTTAAAAATCAGCAATATTTTATTTTATGCAGCAATATTTCCACTGATCTGTTCCCTAGATGAAGGAACATAAAGGAAAGAATAAACTAATGGGATCTTATCAAAATAAAAAGCTTCTGTATGGCTAAAGAAAACGGCATTAAAATGAAAAGAGAACCAACTATATGGAAAAATGTATTTGCAAATGATACCTCAGACAAGGGCTTAATCTCCAACATACACAAAGAAGTCACATGACTTCACTCTAAGAGGACAAACAACCCAATTAAAAAATGGACAAAGGACTTGAACAGACACTTCTCCAAGGAGGACATCCAGAGGGTCCAGAGTCACACGAAAAGATGTTCAGTATTGCTAGCCATCAGAGGTACTCAAATTGAAACCACAATGAGATGCCACTTCACACCAGTCAGAATGGCCATCATAAACAAAGCAACAAACAACAAGTGTTGGAGAGGTTGTGGAGAAAAAAGGGAACCCTCGTGCACTGCTGGTGGGATTGCAGACTGGTACAACCACTATGGAAAACAGTATGGAATTTCCTCAGAAAACTAAAAATGGAACTGCCTTTTAACCCACAATTCCACTGCTAGGATTACATCTTAAGAATCCTGGAACACCAATCCAAAAGAACCTATGCACCCCAATATTCATAGCAGCACAATTTACAATAGCCAAGTGCTGGAAGCAACCTAAGTGCCAATCAGTAAATGAATGGATCCAAAAACTATTTACACAATGGAATTCTACACAACAGAAAGAAAGAAAAAGCTCCTACCTTTTCCAACAGTATGGATGGAACTGGAAAACATTATGCTAAGTGAAATAAGCCAGGCAGTGAAAGACAAATACCATATGATCTCACCTTTAACGGGAACTTAATCAACAAAACAAACAAGCAAGCAAAATATAACCAAAGACATTGAAATTGGGAACAGGCTGACAGTAACCAGAAGGAAGAGGGGAGGGGCTCATGGGGGAAAAGGGTGAAGGGTTTACAGGAAAGATGATAAAGGACACGAAGACCATAACAAGGGGGGTGGTAGAAACAGGGCAGGGAGGGGGGAAGGTTGGAGTGGTGGGGAGGGGTGGGGGAAAAGGCAGAAAACGGTACCTGAATAACAATAAAATCAAAATTATTTAAAATAAATAAATAAAAATCATCAATAGTTCAAATAAAAAGGCATACAAATTATAGTATCTTCAGTTTATTCAGTCCCAGAAATTAATTCTTGTTAATCCTGAGCATGCCAGTATCTTGTGAATCTAGTTATTCCTTAAAGTTCTATAAATCATCATCCATTGAAAGGTAAAAATCTGAATTTTTTTGTGTGTGGTAGGTAGTGAGACAGAAAAGAGCAGAGCAAGGACAATAGGGCAGGCACAGAAGGCCTCCAGTGTAAAAGCCCTGGGTGCCTAGCAACCAACAAAACTGGGAAAAAAAGGACCTTGCCCCCAGGGCGACCTTTCTTCCCCTAGCTAACCCTGATAATGGGGTTTGGACCCCTGACCTTTCATAGTGCTGGCAGGTGGTTCAGATCCTCCCCTGATCTTTCCTCCCCTGGCACGTTGCTAGTCATGAAAGTTAGACACTCTCAGAGGGGAATCAAACAAAGGGGCCAGAGAATATTCCTTAAGCATTAAGCCCCCAGGACAATGAGGTTCTGACCCACATCAAATACATCTAGGCCTCAGGTGTGTTTCAGCTCCAGGCTGAGAAACCGGACAAGCCATGTCATGGCTGACATCAGGACCAGCTGTATTATCTAATGAACCCTGCCCTGGCACTGACCAATTAGTGGAGACCATGACCCTGAAAGGACACATTTGGAAAGCTGATGAATATCCTAGTAAGATCCTCCCCTGGGACTCCTCTAAAATCTTCACTCTTAAAAGGCCTTAGAACAGATTGTTAGTGGACAGGGGCCTGGCCCTGCATGGCTCTGCCTAAGGCCAGCTGCAGTGCATGGGTTCTTACTTCACGCAGGTAAGATTTCCCAACATGAGTCCAGGTGACTGTGTGGACACATTTCTTAAAGGCAAGAACAATGAGTCCTGGCTGGTGTGGCTCAGTGGGTTGAGTGCTGGCCTGTGAACCAAAAGGTCACCAGTTCGATTTCCAGTCAGTGCACATGACTGGGTTATGGGTCAGGACTCCAACTGGGAACATGCAAGAGGTAAATGATGTTTCTCTCACACATCAGTGTTTCTCTTTCTCTCTTCCTCCCTTCCCTTTTCTCTAATAAATGAATAAAGTCTTTTTTAAAAAGCTGGGAACCATGAAACAAGGAAGGGCTTAGCATAGAGGAAGCAGCAAGAGAGCCTAGGCTGGGCTGCCTTGGTTCACTGGGAAGTCAGAGCAAAGGTGCTTTGGAGACAGGGTCAGGGCACTAGCTTGGAACAAATTGTCAGCTGTCCACTGCCTTAGAGTTTAGGAGATGTGTGCCTGGGGAGGAAGAAGTGGGGTTGTGGGGGGGGGGGGGGTGGGAAGAAAGGAAAGGGAATGGCAGTGGCTGTTCCCCAAAGGGAGAGCGCAGGCTGGGTCCTTTGTCTTGAGGCTTTTCTCTCTCTTGCAGGTGGGAACCTCAGGGGAGGGTTTCAGTAGAATATTCATCAGTTCTCCAGGTGCTCTTTTAGGGTCATGGTCTCCACTGATTGGTCAGTGGCAAGGCAGGGGGTCTTTAGTCATTGTAGTTGGTTCTGGCTTTGCCCACCTGGTTTTGCTTTGTTTTTGGCCTGGAGCTGAAACACAACTGAGTCTAGATGTTTTCTCCAGGGAGGAATAGCCAGGGGAGAAGAGGTTGTCCTGGGAGTGAGGTCCTTGTTTGTCCCAGTTTTGCCCTATGCTAGGCACTGGGGGCCTTCTGCCCTGGTGACCATTGCATCTAGCAGTGAACTGCTCAGTCATTGTGTTCAGCAATCTGTTGAACACAATAGATTGCATTTTCCTATTCCATTTGCCAAGGAATTTTTCTAGCTTCTCATTATTCTGTCTCAAGAAGACCCAAGGACCCTGGAGTATACATAAAACTCTTTCCCTTGTACTTCCCCCCAGGTGCATTACCTTTACCCTTCTCTCTCCCAAGTTCCAAGGGTCCTTCTTTTGCCTCTGTAACATGTTTTCTGAGCCCATTTCTCCTACTACTCACTTTTTCTACCTCTGACTTTTTAAATAAATTTTCCCTTATAGTTTAAGTCTCGGCTCTGAATTCTTCCTTAGACAGAACTCAAATACCGAGGTTGCTGAGTCAAGGTCTGGTCTGACTCCACCAATCTAATACCAGGTACATTTTTGCCACTGGCAACATGCTGCCAACATTCTCAGAAACCTGTTTAAGAATAAGGCTTAAACAGGCTTACAGGGACTACATGGCTGTGTGTCCTTCTTTTGACCAATGATATCAAAGACACGGACACAGAAGAAAAAATAACCGTTTCCAGGAGGAAAGGATCCAGGCACAAAAAGCTAGCTTCACGAATATTTTCTCCTAACAATCTAAATTCAGAAGAGAGAAAAGGATTCCTGACACTTCTAAATTTCGTAGAACCCTACAGTAAGAGATCAGAAAGGCTGACAGGGTGAAATGCCAACCCTCTCTGCTGGCCTTGGCCAGACATTTGTGATCTCCCAGTAACAGCTTGGGGAGCCAGTGAGTTCTCGCTGACTTGCCAAAACAGTTGGGGCTGGAAAACATTACTACTTTTCCTCCCACCTCTAAGTTCTTCTAGCTGGGCTAATAATTAAATTAATACAGGTATTAACAATAGAATAGTTATGTTTTTAATACATGCACATGGGGAATTCACATAAAGCATGAAATTTCAGACAGTGAAGCAACCTTGAATATTTAAGACATTTTGGACAAAGGAAAAGTGGGGGACGGGGCCTTAGAATCCAGAAGTGAGAGTGGGTGATTTACAGGCGGTTGAGGAAGAGCAGAACATAAAACCAGAAAAGAGACTGGCAACCAAACCCAATAAGCAATGACAGTGATTGAATCTGTATGGGCGCTTTATTCAGATGGCCCACCATCTAAGAAGATGGTGGGTTTCATACAGGGTGCAGCCAAGGTGGGGGGCGGGGGGCAAAAAAGATTTGGAATGATGTCCAGAATCCAAAGTGTATAGGAATATTGGAGAGACATATAAGATGTTCTCACCACCCCCCCAAGGGGGAAGGGACCAATAGAGCAGGACCATTAAGAGCTGTTTTGCATAGCAACAGTTTTGCAGCTAACCTCTAGAATGATTATTTAACATAACTACAACCTTTAACTGGTTTCATAGATATGTTAAATAGCTGAGGCCAAGTTTTGAGCCAGGGAGAAGGGAGTGGCTTCTACCCAGGATGTAACTAGGGGCTGCGCCCCTGAGTGAGAGGTCTGTGTGAGAGCTTGGAAAAGATTGGCTCCGGGACATGAGGGAATAATTGCCCAGGTGAGGAGAGGGCCACATGGTTTGGGGCAGAGTAAGGACCCCTGCAGTCATGTAAAAGAGAGACACAAGGTTTCAGCAGAGTGAGGACCCCCTCTTTCCCAGTTTAAAGGGAAAACCACGCAGCTTTGCCAGAATGGAGATCCCTGCAGCCAGGTGAAGAAGAAAGCCACATGCTTTTGGTGGAGTGCAAACCCCTGCAGCTTTGGTAGAAGAGGCCCACGTGCCTTTGGGGTGCCCCCTTTGGCTGAGTGGCCTGGAAAGCAGGAGAGACTTTGACTGGAACTGGATACAAAGAACTCTTGCCAATGGACCATCAGAGGGTACCACAGTACTTTGGATTAACTAGAGATCCTGCCTGACACAGCTGCTGGTGCCAGCGGCCTGAAACATGAATGTGTGCTCTTTTCCTGATTTACGGTACCCAGAGTTGGGACAGTGGGAGAAGGGAGAGCTGTGTGTGTAGGTATATACCCCAAAGGACTTTGATATTTTAGTGGTGTTAGGCCTCAATAGCATTAAATAAACATTTTGTTTCCTTTTCACAAATCTCTGGCATTGAGAGATGTCTTTCCAATTGGCGGTGGACAGAAGAGCCCAGTAGATATTAGTATTCTGTCCTTGGGAGGGACCCTTGTTCTGTAGTAGTTTTTGGCACCCCTAGGTGGGCCAAATATTGCCCCCCCCATGGACCTCTTGTTTGGTAACAGGTTCATAACCTACCAGACCATCTTCCCTTCTCTTTCTAGACCAGACTTTTTATAATGGGGGAAATAAACAAGGTGTGGTGAAGGGTTTGAGATTCAGAAGCTGCAACATTCCTGTCCTGGGCAGTTAGCTGTTCCCAGGGGTGGTGGTCATCTGTCTCTCCCTGGAACACAAAGGCCCGGATGCCTCCAGTTGTCCCCAAGCAGTAATCTCTAGCTGTGCCCCAGGAGGTCAGCTGTTTTCCCAGGAGCTAGGACAGGGCTTATCTGTTGTTTCTGAAACAAGAGCTTTAACATACACATTACTTGTGGACTTACAACATTTTACCTTAAGCTAAAATTTTCCAAGTTTTGAGTCCCTAGTCAACACACTTGATAGGCAAATTCTTGCTAGACAACTCAGAGACAATGGGACACAGTGGGTTTCTAGCTAATTAGGTCTCTGCCTGAAGCCTTCCACTGACCACACTTAATTCAAATTAGGGTAAAGTGAACATAGTATGATTTCTTTCCTGAAGCAGGTTTTTCTCTCTGAACCTCTTGGGCAGGAAAGGGGAGAGGGTCAAAGTTTCTTGTTGAGCCTTGTTTCTTAATGAACAGCTTAAAAGTAGCATCTCCAAAAGCTACTTCAGAATGGCAAAATTTTGGTTCCCTTCAAATGTAATTTTGGTTCCATCTAATGTAATTCTATTGCATGCTCAAGTTTGAGAGTCTCCAACCCAGAGCATCTTCACTAGGTGGGGTGGGGTCTGATTCTGCTCCATAGTCAACTTCTGAGCTGGTGTCTTGAGCCTCTGGTCATGTTACTGGCACAAGGTTCATGTGCCCAATACGCAAAAGGTCAAAGTTTGGCCAAGGAAAGCTTTTGTTGATTGAGAAAGCCTAGATGAACAAAATGGGAGAACTAGCTCTCAAATTCATCTTAAAAGAATGTGGAATCTTGCCATCATTTATTGTTGAAAAGGGAAGAGGGGAGAGGTGAGGGCTGGGGGCTGGCCATAGGCAGGTAGGTGTTAAAGGTGTCCAAGGAAGAGTGCAAAATTCCTTGGTGGACCTCTGTTGAACTGAGTCCAGTTATGGAGACTCCTGTGAATCTTTGGAAACAGGCATTACTTTGTGCATATTTTTCCGCATCTGTGCTGTCAAGGTATTACCGAACAGACCTGTGGAGGAGGGGAATGATATACTA